AGGGAGGGAGGGAGGGAGGGAGGGAGGGAGGGAGAAGCAGAATGGTTCATGTCTTGTGGAGAGACGCAGATCTGAAGACAGGAAGGTGGTGAGGAATGGGCAGATGTGGGAGGCCTGCTTGCCATCCGTGGTCAGGGTGACCTCTGGGCCTGGGCTGCTGCCAAGGGCCATGTCTGGGTCTGTTGCCCTGCAGCAGCTGAGATTTGTGTTGATGTTCATGGCTCCTGCTGCCACCCAAGGCTGTGAGGATGCGGGGATCTGGGATGACATCTGAGGCCATGTTGGTATCTGAGGGTCATGTTGCCACGGGGGCCATCTTGATCTGGGTGGCTAGCACTGCCCCAGGGCCATGGAGACATCCAGGCCCGACCAGCAGCTGAGGGCCATGTCTGGGTCCGTGGCCCTACTGCAGCAAGGTTCTGTGTTCATGTCTGTGGCTCCTATTACCACCAAAAGACATGCAAATGCTTGGAGTCTGTTGGTATTCGAGTATCATGCTGCCATTGGGGCCATACAGATCCGAGTGTCCTTCGCTGCTACCCAGGATCATGGTATCATCTGGGCTCTGGCTGTGGCTGAGAGATCTTGTCTGGGTCTGTGTCCCTACTGTAACCAGGGTCTGTGTTAATGTCCGTGGCTCCTGATACCACTGAAGGCCATGCAACTGCCTGGGTCTGGCCACCTGGGGCCATGTTGGAGTCTGGGGACCATGCTACTGATGGGCTCAGCCCATGTGGATCTGAAAGGCTTGTGCTGCCACCTGGGGCCTATGATGACATATCGGCCCAACCTGCTGTTGATAGCCATGTCTGGGTCCTTGGTTCTAGGGTAACTGGGGTCTGTGTTGATGTGTATTGCCTGTGTTATGACAGGGACCCAGGTGAACCATGCGTTGAACCATGTGTTGAGGTATAAGGGCCATGCAGAGATGGCTGCTGCCCTTACTGGCCAGATGATAGCTGACCTCACCCCTCACCACAGGCATGGGAGATCTTGCTCTGCCCCTAGCCTGAAGGGGGTGTTTCCAGAGGCCCAGACTGACCAGCTTGCCTACCACCCAGGCCCACCTGCAGGGCCTTGGGTTGGCCTACCCTAACATCTACCCCATCTATGACCTGCTGGAGTGCATGAAGGGATTGGTTCTATGCAACCATAGCTGCAGGATCTCCATGACTCTGGGCAACAGCAGGATATCTGGGAGGAGTTTTGGTGAGGGACCAGTATTGATGGTGTGCCAGAGGCCAGAGGCCTTGAACATGACCAACAACATGTTATATAATGAACATTTGCAAGTGAAGCTGTTTGGGGAAAAGGGTCTATACACTGCATGATACACTGCAGCTCCCAAGGGCACTGAGACAAATGAAGAAGCCATGGAGAGGTGGGAAAGATGAAAGAGTGAAGGGAGCTTTGTTGTTTGCCTTTTTGTTTGTCTATATTTGTTTGTGTTTTAATTCATATTCTTATTTGTATTATTTATTACTTATTTTTAAGTTTTCCTTTGTGGGGGGAATGCTACAAGGGTGAAGGGCAGATATGAAGGGACCGGGAAATGAATGGGATGGGGTGCATGATATGAAATGCCCAAAGGATCAATACAAAATTATGTTTAAAAAAAGAAAAAGGAACACTTGTGTACATGTATAGGCATACATAAGTGTGTGTTTTTATGTGGGTGTCTTTAGTTGTCTAACACATATAAAGTATGTACTGCACACTGGATAGTTTAAATCTATAGAAATTTATTTTCTCATAATCTGGAGGTCATAAATCCCAAACCAATGTGTTAAAAAGACCATATACACCTTGTAAGACTTTCTTTTTAATGCAAGGCTCTTTTAAGTATACAATTATGTTCTCTGTGAATAGGGATTATCTGACCTCTTCCTTTCTTTTTTAATCCCTTATATCTTTCTCTTGCCTTCTTCCCCACACCCTAAGACTTCAAGAAATATATTGATTTAGGAGTGGAGAGAGTAGGCACCTTATTTTCTTCCCAAATTTGGAGGAAATGTTATTTTTTTTGCCACATTTAGTATAATGTTGGCTAAATGTTTGTCACAAATAGTCTTCATTGTTTTGTCTATTCCAAATTATTCCAGGACGTTTTTGTAACTTCAAGCCATCAGTGTGCACTATTTCACCATAACAGTTTTGGGAGACTAATACATTACTATAGAGACATATGCCTGTGCATGCATATACACACTGACAATTTTTTCTGAAAATAAGATAATTTAGATTTCTAAATTATCAATTTAATACCCCCATCTTTGTGTCCCCTTTTAAAAATTTAATCGCTCACTCCAATTTGTGTTGGCCATATGCTTCTCATTATAGAGGTATTCATGGAGTGTGGTTGACCTACCAGGAGCCTCACCATTAAATAACTCCTCAGAAGCCATCAACTGTCCATAGTTCCTTGGTTAGCAGTGGGGGCTCAAGATCCCTTTCATGTGAATGCATCCAACCCTATTGGTTGAAAAAATTTGTATCTATGTTCATCCAGGAAATTGGCTTGTAGCTTTCTTTTTCTGTTATGTCTTTATCCAGATCTGATGTCAGTGTAAGAACCGGCTTCCGTTTCTATTTTGTAGAACAGTTTAAGGAGTATTAGTATTAGACCTTCCTTCAATGTTTGATAGACTTCATCAATCTGTCCAGTTCTGGGATTTGCTTGGTGGAGAGACTTTCAATTACTGTGTCAATTTCATTGCTTTTTGTGTCTTTTTAATTTGTTTATGACATCTTCTGGATTTAATTTCAGCAGGACATACGAATTTAGAAATTTATTCATTGTTTTTAGGTTTCCCATCTTTTTAGGATAAAATTTTTCAAAGTATTCCATTATCTGGACTTCATTGAATTCTGTTTTAACAACTCCCCTCTCATCTTTGATTTTATTTATTTGAGTTTTCTCTCTCTTTTGTTAGTTTGGTTAAGATGTTGTAAGTACTGTTAATCTTGAAGAACCAACTCTTTGATTGGGTATATGTATTGTTATTTTAGTTTCATTTCATTAATTTTTGCCTTGATATTTATTATTTCTAGCCACATGTTACTTTTTTTTTTGGACAGTATCTCAGCTGACCTGGCACTTGCTGTGTTTACCAGTCTGACCTCAAACTCACAGAGCTCTTCCTGCTCAGTGGTCTGGAGGTGAAGCAATTATGATAAATATACTAGCAGTCCACACCTCCAATGCTCCATAAGAGTTAACAAACGGAACACAGACAGGATTCTACCCAAGCTGGGTGCTAAGAAGAGCAGGCAGTCTTGGGATTCCCCTTTCCCCTCACTCAACAGACACTTGCTACTTTACATGGAATCTACAAAAGTTTAGGGTGGTTTCCAGTATGGGCACAGACCTCTATCCTATGATAGAAGGTAATTCACTAGGGAAGGACTTGTGGAAGAGTTGGAGAAAAGAATCCAAAGGTGATATCTCCATGTGACTTGGAAATATGCAACAGGAACCTGAACATAGGAAATTGGGGGCTCTGGAATTTGTTGGTAGGGAAACTAGCAGTTCTTAGCCTCTTTTTACAGCAGAGATGATCTATCTTCTATCCCTCAACTTGCATGACTACCTCACAGCTTTTCCCCTTTACTTAGATCCTTAAAGCCACCCATAGTAATAGCCATTAACTTTCAGTTGCTAGCAAAAGCCTTTCTACAGTTAAAAATGAAGGTAATCGTAGGATAAAATGGAACAGAATTATTCAACACTTGGTATTGTTTCCAGACGGGATATAGATTCTGCTTTCATAAAATTGCTATGCTCTAACAACTGAAGTTGTCTCTTAAGATGCACTTAACTGATTTTAGAAACACAGATTGTGTTCAAGGAGATTCTCTGTTTTAAATTTTTTTCCAGAGAAAAATTCAAGCAAACTAGAATGTTCTAAAAATAGTTTGTAGCAATTGAATGTATGCAATATATGCATTGCATCCAGCACAGGTGAAAATGGTGTGTGTGTGTGTGTGTGTGTGTGTGTGTGTGTGTGTGTTACCGTGCCAGTTTCAAACATTTAGTTCAAAAATAAAATTTCCTGCTTTTCAAAAATTGAGGTATGAAAATTTGTTGTTTTGAAAGAGGGTCTCATTCTGTGGCCCAAAATGATTTGAAATTTACTATGTACTCTACACTGGTCCTACCTCATGGTGAATCTCCTACTTCAGCCTCCCTAGTGCCATGATTTCAAGAGTGAGGCACCAGTTGTGGCTGAGACTCATTAATATTTAAAAAGAAAATAAAGAGAAATTAATAGAAAGAATCTATACAGATGTAAAGAACGGAGAAAGCAGAACGCCAGGGTGAGGGTGTGGTGGTGCTGAACCAAGAAGGATGGTGCAGACTCTCCCTGGTAACAGGGAAGGGAGAAGTCCAACCTCCAGACGGTGAGGCCACTTGTGGGTACTCAGATTGGCGAGGATCTGGATGAGTGACGGGTGGGGCGTGACTTGAGAGCTCATAGAGGGGAGCTGGGGCGGGGCCTCCTGTCGCACTGGCCTCCTGAGCAGGGGAGCTAGCTTGGCAGTGACGCGGGGCCCTCACGTGACCCGGGGCTGCAGAGCGACGCAGCCTTGGGTGCAGTCGTCACTTGCGTCTGGTCTCCAGCTCCGCGCTTCCCTGCGCAGGGCGGGCTGGCATCGGGCCCTGGGCGAGCGGCGCAGGTAAGGGGCCCGCACGCAGCGGCCCTAGGGCCACAGCCTCCCGGTGCGCCGGAGCGCGCTGCAGGACGGCGCGGCGGCCCCGCGGCTTTGTGCATGGCAACGAGAACCGCGGCTGCGCCCGGGGAAGGGGCGCCCCTGCTTGCGGGCGGGGATGGCGGGGGTCTCGGGGAAGGGCCGGCTGGGCGGCTGGCAGAGACCAGTGCTAGACCTAGCCCTGGAGAGCATGGAAGGGGACGGGCTGCTGGTGGCTGTGGGAGGCGGGAAAGGATGGGCAGTGGGGGTGCAGGCGGAGGAGGGGGTGCGGTACTGATCTCCGCGCTGAGTCGCTCCCATCCCACCCTGTCTGCAGGTCTGCAAGCCGAGAGTCGCGGCGGCGCGTCTGGCAGGAGAATTGAGAGGAGGACTCCGCGGCGAGGGATAGGCCCAGGTCGGTTCAGGGCAGTGTGTGTGTGTGTGTGTGTGTGTGTGTGTGTGTGTGTGTGTGTGTGTGTGTGTGTGTGTTGGGGGGCGGAGTGGGGGAGGGGAGGGTTGGAGGAGCGTGCGGAAAGCCTTGTCTGGAAAGTCAGCCCTCCTCGCATCCATTCCTTCCCACCTTCCATCCCATCCCCCTCGTTCTACCTCCCATCTACCCCACCACCTTCCACCATCCCCATCCACCAGCTCCATCCTCCATTTTGATGGCTGCAAAAGCCTTGGAGATAGATCAACGGGGAAAATGGTGGGTTGTGGGGAGAGGGGATGGGACTGGGGGCCCTCTAGAGGGCGTGTTGGGCCTTTCAGGTAGGAAAATAAAATTTGAAAAACAAAGTAAACATATGGACACTCAGAATAGTGAATGTTGGAAAATGGGCCTCTGTCCTCGGTGCTGAACCTTTCAACAATTCCCTTGTCTTCTAGGAGAAATGGAATCCAAAGAGGAACAAGAAGTAAAAAATCTCAACATGGAAAATGACCATCAGGAGAAGGAGGAGAAGGAAGAAAAGCCACAAGAGGCTAACAAAAGGGAGCCGCCCGTGGCCCTGCCTTTGGAAACAGGCGAATACAGCGTGCCTAGAGGAAGTCGCAGACGCTTCCGAGTCAGGCCGCCCATTGCCCACTATAGATGGGACCTGCTGTATAGGGTTGGAGAGCCCCAGGCAAGGGTGAGACAGGAGAACGTGGAGAGGTTTGGGGAGGATGTGAGGCAGCTCATGGAGAAGTTGAGGGAAAGGCAGCTGAGCCATAGTCTGAGGGCGGTTAGCACTGACCCGCCCCACCACGACCACCACGATGAGTTTTGCCTTATGCCCTGAATCCTGAAGTTCTCTCTGAAGAGAATATGGGGACCCCTGCTTCTAAAACGTACATGTTTGTGATGCACTGTTGTAAACTTTTTGATGTTACTTGTTCCCCATGGGTCTCCACTTACCGCCAGCTTCTAATTGAAACTTGTGTTTTTGATTCAGTCTTAAAATTTTTTTGTTAGCAGAATTTATCTAATGCATGGAAAGATGCTCATTATATATTGTGGAGCTAATAAAGCAGATTTAAAAAGCAATCTTAGTATTTATTATTTAAAGGCTACTTATATATACCACACACAGTGGGAAAGTGGGTGGAATTCAATTGTAAAAGGATTAATACTGGGACTCATTTCTGTGAGAGTAAGGCAGACAAACAAGACATTTTAGTACCCTGGGGGCCCCCATTTGGTTTTGGTTATACCCATCGCCCCATGGTATAATAATACACTTTGCAACCTATTCCTTTCAACTGTGTGGTATACTCACTTCCTTCTCCTCACAATGCACCCAGCAATCCCTGAACCCCTTCAGGCCCTCACCTGCGTGCGTCATGGTACACATACATACTCCCATCTCTGAACAAACAATAGTGTGTTTTCCCACTTACCCCTGGTAACAATCACATTTAAATCATTTCTATTTAAGTGAATTCTCCAGGTATCTGGGTGTGGAGAATAGAAGGTCTGGTCCTTCTGGCTTAGACTGGTTTTGGGTACAAGCACAGTAAGACGAAATTATATCCTGCAGTAAAATTTTAAGTATAACCCCTTATTTACCATTGTATGCCTATGTATAACTGGGCATGCATATTATTAAAATCAGATGCATGTGGGAAGGGACATGCGTATTAGGGAAAATGAATGTATGACTTGATCTGTCAGCCAAAGTAAGAGAATCACCCAAACAATGCCCCATAGTAAACTTCCCTTAAATCCCATAAAAGGAAGCCCTGAACTATAATGGGAACCTTCAGTGTTCTCGATCATATGGCTTGCTATCCTGACAAATGTATCCCTCTATAACCTACACTATTGCCTTGCTTTGAACAAAATTCACCTTGCTTCTTTAGTAAATTTGTGAGCCTTTTTGGTTAAGAAATCTGGGACCTGGGTACTCTTTGCCCACATCCCAACCAGTAACAAAAAAGGTATGATCTTATACGTTTTGCCCATGTTGTAAAATACCTGTTATGAACAACTCAAAGAGAGAAAGAATTTATTTTAGTTCCTGGTTGCAAATATTTCAGCCTATCATTGTGGGGAGGCTGTTGTGCAACAGAGTAGCTCACACCACGGTGGCTGGGCTGCGAGTGGGGGGAAGGGAGAGAGAATGAGCACCACTGTTTCTCTGCTTTTATTCTGTCCCAAGGGCAGCTAGTGGGATCATGCTGGCTTCCTTAGGGGTGAGATTTTCCCGTTGTTAATTTCACTTTCATAGAAACAGAGGTCTATTTTAGCAATTTTCTAGGCACTTCTCAATCCAATCAATTTGTTGTGAGAAATATAGACTGACAGACTTGGTGGTTTATTTTTCTCTGTACGTGGGGGAAAGAAATACAATACTTTTAATTTCTTTATAAAAGAAGAAAGGACAGTTAATACTCATTAGCAGAAACTGAGTCTCATAGCCACACAGATAAGCCAAGAAATTTTTTTTACCAATCAAGAGTGACGTTGCTTTCACACAAGTGAAGCAAGGTCACGAGGGTACGGTTTACCTAGTTTTCACCCATCCTCACCTCCTAGGCAAGAGCCCTACCTGCATATCATTCTCTTTAGGTACTAAGCAGTTTCAGAGGCCAGGTCGCGGTAGTCTGGCATACCTTCCATGTCCTGATCAAAGATGCACTGTCTGCTGATCATGCTATGATTTCTGCCTGACTAGAGCAGGATGTTCAAAAGGAGAAAAACAATGATTGAATCTGGAGCCCTGGTTTTTTTTTTTCTTTTTCGATCTGAGTACAGTTCCTAGCTAGATAAATAACTTCGAATGTATAACTTCCTTTTATAGAAGAGATTGCATGCAATTTCTAAAAGGACATTGAACTTATTTAGAAATGTCTAAATGTTCTTGACAGTATGTGGATTTGTTACCAGTACAAGAATCACTTGGAGTCTATTAAATTATGGGTTTATGTATGGATGTAAGGTTCCACTCCAGGTTCACTAAATAGGATTTTCTTTTTTTTTTAATTTTTATTCTTTTTTTAATTTTTTTTTAAAATTTTATTTTATTTTACAATACAATTCAGTTCTACATATCAGCCATCATCGGAATCATCAGATGCCCTTTTTCTCCCCCCTCCCGCCCCTCTCCCCTTCCCCCCAGTCCACCCCTCATTCCCACCTCCTGAGGACTGAGATTGACCTGGTAGACTCAGTCCAGGCAGGTCCAGTCCCCTCCTCCCAGGCAGAGCCAAGTGACCCTGCATAAGCCCCAGGTTTCAAACAGCCAACTCATTACTGAGGATAGGACCCGGTCCCAGTGCCTGGATGCCTCCCAAACAGATTTTCATTTTTAACAAGCATCTTTGGTGATTCTGCTGCACATTAATGTCTGAAAGAGTACTGATATGTATATACTTACTATCCCCATTCTTAAATAGGAACTATAATTAACTTCAAGTGCTTTTCAGTGGATTATACAGTGATTAAAAATAATATACTTATTACAATCACCTACCTTTCTTAACCATCATTGCTCAAGCACTGTCTGAATAGATACAGACACAATCTTTCCACTGTAAATTTGTATTTGTAGAAATACTGTCTTAGTTGCATTTCTACTGCTGTAATAGAATACCATGACCAAACATAACTTGTGAACAAAAGATTTTATTTCACCTTATAAATTGTAAGTCCTGAGGGAAGCCAGAGCAGGAACTCAGGGTAGGAACCTGAAAGCATAAACAGATGTACAGACCATAGAAGAGTGCTGCTTACTGGCTTACTCTCTATGGTTTACTCATACAGCTCTCTTATATACCCTAGAACAACTTGACCAGAGGTGGAACCTCCCACAATGGCCTGTAAAATGCTAGGCCTGGTCTACATCTCCATTGCAGCTTTGTAAAAGACCTTGAGGCAGAGGACTCAGATAAATCACCCTGGACTTCTGACTTAGAATCTCTGGGATCATAAAGTCATACTGTTTTACATGTTATGTTTGGAATTAATTAGATACATAATAGGAAATAAAACATGTTTTTCTTTTTATGTATGTGTAAATATGGGGGTTGTACATGTCTATGTGTGTGTGTGTGTGTGTGTGTGTGTGTGCGCGCACAGGCAGGTGTGTGCAGACATATGTATGCATGTCTGTGGAAACCAGAGGACAATCTTGAGTGTTGCTCTTCATATAATGTCTACCTTTTTACTTTTAATTTTAATTATTTTATGTGTATAGGTGTTTTGCTTGCAAGCATGTCTGTTCACTATGTCTGTGCCTGGTCCTGAGGAGGCCAGAAGAGGGCATTGGATCCCCTGGAACTGGAATTATAGACAGTTGTGAGCTGATTGTGGGTTCTGGGAATTGAGCTCAGGGCCTCCAGAAGAGCAGCCGGTAGTCCTAACTGTTGAGCTATCTCTCCAGTTCCTATCATCTTCATTTTTAGGATAGGGTCTCTCACAGATTTAAACTCATCAAATAGGCTAGGCTGGATGCCCAGTAAGGCCCAGGGTTTGATCCATCTCTATCTTCCCAGCACTAGGTTTACAATCACTTGACATCATGTCAAACTTCCATATTTCACAAAACATTGGTTCTGATGATAAAACACAGGTCCTCATTATTGCAAGGCAATTTCTCCATCCAAAAAAGAATGTTGCTTATTAAAATAAAATAAAAAACTAGAAAAATATTTTTGCATATTAAAATTAACAATTAAGTATTCAAATTCTCAATAGTCTCATAAATTTTAACCCCAAAGTATATAAATTAATATAAAATAAATTATGTGTCTAAGGAATATTTTTCGCCTCATCAGATTGTAAAATAGCAGGAGCAACCTATGTAAATATTTCTACTAATTCATAACTTTTTCTATAAAATAACATGTTTTAAAAGAGCTGTCTCCAATTTAATATAGACCTGGAGCTACAGACTCGGAAAGCAGTAAATGCTAGGAGAAAAGCCAATGTTACATGCAATGAAAAGTAAGGATCTATTGAGTGTCAGTGAGGGTTTCACATATATAACAGAGTAATAAAAAAAGATTCTTTTGAGCTAGTAGTGGTGGCGCATGCCTCTAATCCCAGCACTCAGGAGGCAGAGCAAGACCAGTCTCTGAGTTTGAAGCCAGACTGGTCTACAGAACAAGTTCCAGCACTGCCAGGGCTACACAGAGAAACCCTTTCTCTAAAAATCAAAAATCAAACCAACCAACCAAACAAAAAATTTGCTTTATAATATATCTTATTTTGCCAACATTTGATAAAAAAAAAAACTTACTAGATTTCTTAAAATAGCCTGTTTATCCCTACAAGGAGAAAAGAATCGCTAGAAGGCTGGGCAGTGATGGCACACGTCTTTAATCCCAGCACTTGAGAGGCAGAGGCAGGGGGATCTCTGTGAGTTCAAGGTCAGACTGGTCTACAGGGTGAGTTCCAGGATAGAGAGAAATTATGTCCTGGATTTCTGTTACACAGAGAAATACTGTCTCAGAAAAAAAAAGAAGTTGGATATAAAATATATTTTTATATCACCATAAGAACAAACATATAGGCAAATAGAATGGTGTTTTTTTAAATATATTATACTCATCTTCAGTCACATACAAAAAAAATCAAGGGATGCAAAAGCAGTAAGTAAAGAAAAAGCTTAACTATGGAGCTTCAAATAAACAATTTGTAGTGTTAACCTATCTGCAGTGTGTAAATACTATGACAGCTGACTTCATGGTAGCAATATGGTATCATTTAATAGAGAATTGAGAAGAAATGTACACAGTTATCTATCAGGAGTACACCATCAGCTTAGCAGCCTCCCACATAAAACTGATGAAAACAGGTCCAATACCATGTAAGGAAAAATGAGTGGTGAAGGTGAGAAAACGAAACAGCATTTGTAAAGGAGATCTAGGATAGTCTAGGGAAAACTAGATCAAGCCAGACCGGCAGACACCAGATGCATGGTGCAATCTCGGAGAAGTGGCCACAAGAAAGAGCACAGGGTACATGGACAAAGTGTGTGTGGTGGGGGAGAGATTACACAGACACAGCAGTCATTTGAAGGTGTGTTTGAACAAGCATAGACT